AGCAAGATGGAGAATTAGTCTTTGGATACCGACAGAGAATTGCGGTTGCTTTTCATGAACAGCACTCGTGTCCTTTTGGGTTTATGTTTGTTTGTCGCAGAGAAAAGTTTGGTTTCGTGTGGCGGTTGTGCCGCTTACTCGCTCGGACAACAATGAGATTCACCGGGGTGTCGAGTCTATAAGCCTGTGAGTAATTTCATAAGCACTCTCACAGCGTGCGTTTTCGAGTGTCTCGCTGTAACCCATCGCTGCGACGCTCCAGCTGACTGAGAGTGGGAGGAGGAGGCATGAGAGAGGGGGCGGGCGTCGTGGCGGCGACCGTCCGTGTCACCTCGTTGGCGCGACTCCGAAGGAGCGACGGGACAACGGGGCGGTGAGGGCGCACGCGGCCGTGGCATGGCGAGGAGGCGCCACACTCGGGGCAGTGCGGGCGGCTGGAGCGCCGCTCTTACGCGGGCACCGAGGGAGAGGGCGCCGCGCGAGTCTAGTCCGTGAGGAGGTGTGAGGAGGTGTGAGGAGGTGCGCGTCGCGTGTTGTTTCCCGCCAGGTTCCGGGATGCCCCCTTCCCCCCGCTAAGCCTCACGTGGGATGGGGCCCATCTATTCGGGAGGTCTGCAAATGGTGCAGCTTCACTCCTTGCCACGGCACAAAACGAAAGGCTGACAGCCATGAACCCCTGACCCCTGGCCACCAGGGTCTAATTGAACCAAAAGTTAGACCCGGTGTCCTCGTCTCAAGGCCACGCTCTCTGCATCGAGTGCGATGGGGGCCCAACGTCACTCACAAGAGGTGGTGGCGTCGGGCCTCGGGCCAGTGGGACGCTCGAGTCTGGATTCGACATTGGGCCCCAGGTGCGTTCGCCAGGCCTGAAGCGGAGCAGACGGCCACCTCCGTGACCCGCGGGGCGCACGGCGGGGGAGCGGGAAGCGGTGAGTAAAGAGGCTTTGTAGGGGGCCCGAAATAGCATCCTGGCTAAGGGCCCGGGTTGTCCGCAAAGCTGGGCCCTGTCCTAGAACGGCACGGGTGCTGCCGTGCACGGGGACCCAGGGTTCCTGGGGCAAATGGCGTTTCCGTTCCAAAACCAACAATGCAGTGTTGATTTTGGGTAATATAAGAAACCCCACACTACAAACACAACCTCCTCCTCCCACTGAGTATATGAGCTGGGCGGGCGCTTTGAAAGCTTGCTGGAGGCATACTGGTGAGAAATTACACTTATTGGGCCAATTTGATGTTTCAACTAGCACATTGGGGATGGGATACCCGAGTCTAGACTCGGGATACCCGGGTCTAACCGCCTCTTGTAAACAACTGCGCAGCAGGAGTGGAAGCTTGTTTATTTGCCGATTCATTTATTTACAGTTTTCAAACTAACCAGATAAAAAAAAAAGTTTTTTTCCCGATTATGCGGAGTAAAATGAAGGATTGTCATGGAGCAAGTCTTGTGTGGATTTTCTATTTTCATTCTAAACGTGAGCCCTGGTTTCCTTCCTTCAAAAAATGCAACTTGAACGTAGTGTGGACCCAGGGTTCACAGTTGACCCAGGGCTCACCATGCTGGCTCGCTTCCTTTCTGTCAGATTCTTCATTTTGGCAGAAAACAAGCCAACGTCTCCATGAACCGACGATGGGGAAATTCGCCAAGGGGCCGCGCTACGGCGGTTCTCATCGCCACGCGAATCCGGCTCTTGGTGGTCGCGCTCCCACTCTCTCAAAAGACGACGTGATGAGACTTTTCGCCCCCTCCCACTGCCGTGACAAAACGCATCGTTCGTTTGTACTCTGCGGCCTGGATTTTAAAAAAAGGGAAGAGGTGAGCGGGCGCGGCGCGGTAATTAAATGGCCGGGGCAGCGGTGTTGGCGGGCTGGTGCTGTGTGCCCTGCAGGAGGTGCTGTGATCCAAGCTGCTCCGAGTCAGGGTTCGAGAGGCCGCTATAATCTGTGCTAATCGCCGCGCCACAACGCCACGCTGCCATATGGCACGGCGCGCACGCTGGTCTCGAGCCAGGGACCACGAGCTCCTCGCATATGCCAAGCCCGCGCGTGCCGCTGAGAAAGATATCTCTCCTTTAATTACGCTCTCGAAAATTACAAGATTACCATTTTGACGGCGCCGTGAATGTTGATGTCATTACAGGTCGACAATGGAGCACGGCATTAGATTCCATTTGTGGAGTGTTATTATCGTGACTCGAAGAATGGATTTGAAACGTTTGAATCGCGGCGTAATATTTATGTAGAGACGGGCAGAGAGACGGCAAGAGATGCTAATATACTGGATTTGCAAATCAGCGATGCCACTTTTGATTTCTGATACCGGCCTTCAAAAATATCGGTCATTGAATTTGGATTACATAAAAAATGATACGCGAATTAGACATTAAGGTGGCACATTAATAACAATGCTTTCATTGCTAATTCAGTAACGAAACGGGAACGGCCGTGTGTATAGTCAGCAATGACTTTCTCTTCCCCCTGTGGCTCTGACGGCAATGTTGATACAACTGGCTCCATCTGTCCACCGGTCCTGTAGAGCAGTACGTCAGAGATCCTATGGCGGGGTAACGAGTGTGTACTCTGGCCAATATCTCTCGCCTCTGGGCAATATGCAAATGTCGGGATACATGCTCTGTAACAAAGAGGCTTTTAAAAAAAATGGTAACATCACGGACACAGTGGGATTTTGAAAGTGATTTTAAAACTGATTGGAAGCCAGTGAAGGCAGAACAGAATTGAGATGTAATTTGAATGAATGATGCTAAATAACATGCTTTTATAGGTAGATCGATAGATGGATATGTAAGTAGGTAGTCATGTATGTAGGTGGATGAGTAGGTAAGTAACCTGGTAGGTTGATAAGTATGTTGAACTTCTTTCGCACCGTACATAGCCAACCGTGCTAATCGGAAGTGCGTTATGCAGGTACGTGCATCAGTGGTTAGGTCTGTGGGTGGGTAGTTAGGTAAAAAGATGGGTATGTAAGCGCATCGATGGGTGATGAGGGAGGTAGGCATGTATGTACGTAGGTACTCTTTAAATAAACCCATTGAGACAAAGTCTCTTATGATGACCTGTTTCACTGTGAGTGAAGTATGACATTGGTCCGATTGCGTTAAATAAATCACGCAATTTTCATTGATCTCGCGCTTTGGGAATGGTGTGCATCGTGTATTGAGTCGCAGTACTTAGAGGTGACATCCCATTGCATTCGCTACTCTTCGTGTGCCCACTGCTGGGTAAAGATCTCCCAACGCCAGGGGTTACAGTGAGGGAAAAAAGTATTTGATCCCCTGCTGATTTTGTACGTTTGCCCACTGACAAAGAAATGATCAGTCTATAATTTTAATGGTAGGTTTATTTGAACATTGAGAGACAGAATAACGGCAAAAAATCCAGAAAAACACATGTCAAAAATGTTATTAATTGATTTGCATTTTAATGAGGGAAATAAGTATTTGACCCCTCTGCAAAACATGACTTAGTACTTGGTGGCAAAACCCTTGTTGGCAATCACAGAGGTCAGACGTTTCTTGTAGTTGGCCACCAGGTTTGCACACATTTCGGGAGGGATTTTGTCCCACTCCTCTTTGCAGATCTTCTCCAAGTCATTAAGGTTTCGAGGCTGACGTTTGGCAACTCGAACCTTCAGCTCCCTCCACAGATTTTCTATGGGATTAAGGTCTGGAGACTGGCTAAGCCACTCCAGGACCTTAATGTGCTTCTTCTTGAGCCACTCCTTTGTTGCCTTGGCCGTGTATTTTGGGTCATCGTAATGCTGGAATACCCATCCACGACCCATTTTCAATACCCTGGCTGAAGGAAGGAGGTTCTCATCCAAGATTTGACGGTACATGGCCCCGTCCATCGTCCCTTCGATGCGTTGAAGTTGTCCTGTCCTCTTAGCAGAAAAACACCCCCAAAGAATAATGTTTTCACCTCCATGTTTGACGGTGGGGATGGTGTTCTTGGGGTCATAAGCAGCATTCCTCCTCCTCCAAACACGGCGAGTTGAGTTGATGCCAAAGAGTTCCATTTTGGTCTTATCTGACCACAACACTTTCACCCAGTTGTCCTCTGAGTCATTCAGATGTTCATTGGCAAACTTCAGACGGGCATGTATATGTGCTTTCTTGAGCAGGGAAACCTTGCCGGCGATGCAGGATTTCAGTCCTTCACGGCGTAGTGTGTTACCAATTGTTTTCTTGGTGACTATGGTCCCAGCTGCCTTGAGATCATTGACAAGATCCTCCCGTGTAGTTCTGGGCTGAATCCTCACCGTTCTCATCATTGCAACTCCACGAGGTGAGATCTTGCATGGAGCCCCAGGCCGAGGGAGATTGACAGTTATTTTGTGTTTCTTCCATTTGCGAATAATCGCACCAACTGTTGTCACCTTCTCACCAAGCTGCTTGGCAATGGTCTTGTAGCCCATTCCAGCCCTGTGTAGGTCTACAATCTTGTCCCTGACATCCTTGGAGAGCTCTTTGGTCTTGGCCATGGTGGAGAGTTTGGAATCTGATTGATTGCTTCTGTGGACAGGTGTCTTTTATACAGGTAACAAGCTGAGATTAGGAGCACTCCCTTTAAGAGTGTGCTCCTAATCTCGGCTCGTTACCTGTATAAAAGACACCTGGGAGCCAGAAATCTTTCTGATTGAGAGGGGTCAAATACTTATTTCCCTGATTAAAATGCAAATCAATTTATAACATTTTTGACATGCGTTTTTCTGGATTTTGTTGTTGTTATTCTGTCTCTCACTGTTCAAATAAACCTACCATTGAAATTATAGACTAATAATTTCTTTTTCAGTGGGCAAACGTACAAAATCAGCAGGGGATCAAATTCTTTTTTCCCTCACTGTATTTGACCATACTTCTCCATGCTGAGCAGTATGGGTTTGGGAAGCGGTGGTGGGGGTGGGAGTAGGACTGGTTCGGATATCACTCGCCACCGATGTTAGCCGCGTCGGGGAATCAAAGTCATGAAGCCGGCGTGTTCGTATCGCAGGACGCTGAGCGCTGCGCCTCCGTCTCCCATGACGTAATACGTGTGTACAAAAGTCACCTGACACAGCAACACAATTACACACCGAAGTGTCAAGCAAGCAGGCGAGCTGACAAGTTAAATAGATTCAGCCCTAAGATGTCTGCTGTAAGGGATTAATTTAAAAGACGGCGAGGTCAGCGGGAGCGATACCGATTGAAATACCACCACGTCGAAACCGTCGCGCGGCCCAGGCTGCCCGCCTCTCTCTGTGCCTCTGCCTGAAACACGGCGCCTTCGCTCTGCCCAAGCGGCGGCTGCTGCTGCTGCTGCTCCGCTTCATCACCACAACAACAACGACGACGACGTTGCGTGCCGGGAAGAAGTCGCCCGCAGAGGTCAGCGCGGGGAGCGAGTCGCGTCGCCACCGACGCGCCGCGGGCGGTCGTGCGGGGCTGCCGGCTTGGGCGAGCCGGCTCGCTGGGCCCCCGAGACGGCGTCGTGCGTGGCGGGGACGGCGGCGGCGGTGTCCGCTCCGTGCCACGGTTCCATTTCGACCCTAGGCCCAGCCGGGTGGATTCCTCACCCCCCCCCCCCTCCACACCTCTCTCGCATCTACCCCCCCCGTCTCGTGTAATGCGCGCCTGGCTCTCCATGCCCCCCCCCACTGATTTTGCCTCCCTTGCCTGTCAAAAACATGTTTTTTACAAAGGGGGGGGGGGGGAATCGCGGCTGTAACTAACAGAGGGCGGCTGTGGGGGCGGCCGTGCCGCTCAGGACCTGTGGGGGAAGGGGCGGCGGGGGGGGGGTCACTGATCGGCTCCCCCCTCGTGTGGAGCCGCGCGGAGGAGCTCCTCGCGGAGGAGCTCCTCGCGCGTTCGAGGCGCCCGTGGCGCAATGGATCCGTGCCTAATTCCATTGTTTGTATCCCCTCCCGCCGGCCCTGGCCGAGCCGAGTGTACACGTCTCGGTTTTAATAGTTACCGCGCCCGTGTAAATCAAACACTTAATAATAATAACAACTGCTGTAGGGCAATGCGAGTGCTATGATGCTGGAGTCTACCGATTTGCCATTATTTCTTTTTTCATAGCTTACATCTTAATGAAAACATTAACCCATCGCCGTGTATGTGTAGTGGCAGGCAAATTAATATCGAAATAATGATCTAACATAAGTGGTGGTTTGTTGATTCCGCGTTGCTTGTTTAATGTTTGAGTGTTTTATTACTGAGATCTGCATAGAGACCCTTTCTATAGCAAGCACACTGGCATGGCTTCAGCAAGAGTGAAGATCTCGCTGGAGCATTACAGGCGAAGACAAACGAGGCAAAAGGTTAAGGTGAATGATCCACGCAAGCGGCGATTTCTAGACAGCAAGAGGAGCCACTACGTCCAGAAGCCCCCTGCCCCCAGCGTGCCTTGCGTGTTCAGAGGCGTCACCGCGCGCTTGCGATGCGCGCACACCAACATCCAGAACGATGGCCCCATTATCTGAGACAGCATCGGGACAACGAGACAACCACATCCTGGTTTCTTTCTCGTTCGGAATCATCGGTGCAGTATAGCCACCATTGCCTCACGAACCGTCTTGCTGTATTTCCCTCCACAGGCTACAAGTATCCCATGCAGGTGAGTCAACGCACACGCCTAGGAGGAATGAGGAGGGGGAGGGGAGAGACACCGATGGCTCGGATTAGAGTCGGACCAACCGGACTTTTTCAGCAAAAGGAATCTGAACGCTTTTGGTCATTCTCACTACCCGAGACTGGGAAGGACCAGAGGCTGGGGCTGCCACTCGTCTCCAAGTGGACGCCAGTCACGTGGAGCAGCGCCTCTCCACCCCAGTCCTCGTGGGAATCACCACCGTGGACTAAACAATAAATGGATGCAGGGGTCACAGTAAAGTGGAAATGTTTTACTTCAGAATTAAAATAATGCTGAGCATTAAAACTGAACGGCAGTAGCCACGGGTACAATTGACAAAGCAATTGTTTGACAGCACAGGACGATGTAGTGGCGTTAGACCCGCTGTGATGGCGAAATGTCTAAACACGTGAATTCATGAACCCATCTGTGCAGACATCTCGCATGCATGGTGGGTCTTCTCTAGGTGCTTCACCTTCCTTCATGGGACTGGTTGAAGTATCCTAACTCAGGACCCTACTCAAAATAGTCTTAATAATCAGACTTTCTTTGTTTTACTTAAATGACAACAGGTAGGCGAATTGCAGTGTTCTGTTGTTACTGAATCATGAAAAGAAATATCGCATAATGCATGATCAATACATTACAATGAAATAATTAAAATCGAGTCCCCATTGGCGCAGATAGGATCGGTGGATCTGATCTGGGTCGGATCTGCAGGAACGTGGATCGGCTCAGTTAGGCGATGGATTACAGTGCACCGATCCGATCCGCGGGATTGAGTCCAATTGCACCATTTAGTCGGGCTTGTTAAACCGCACAGCCTCGTGCGAGCGTCCGACTGAGTCGGTGCCCTATCCACTGGGCCGGTTCACTGTAAGGGGTTAACGGATCAAAGTCCCCAGCGAGCGGGCGCGTGAAGCTTACGAGACACAGCGCCCATTTTAAAGCACATTTTGCCCTAAAATAGACATTAAAGATTATTTGTCATCATTATCATAGGCCACTGTGTACTAGCATCAAGGCTCAAAATTTCCACAATTTGGAAATAATAAATAAAAATAACAATCAAACAGACCCTGCCCCGTTTGTTGCAGAAGCGGTGCAGCATATGCCGGGGAGCCTCACCTGTCCGTAAAGAGAAGACTTTAATTAATTGACATGCACGGCCAAGTGTTGTGAATTCTGTCCATGCATCCAATTCCTGCCGTCCAAACAAACGCTGCACGAGAGTAAACAAAGACCCCCTCGTTTGAGTAAACAGCCCAGCGACGCTGTGCTGCTCTGATAGACAACACTCTTGCTGGTTTCACAACAGAGTTCATTTTCTTCAGGGCATGTGGACAAAGTGGCAACACTTGGGCCAGTGTACAGATATTTGTGTTTGACAAAATATTTTATTTCATGGGAAGCCAGCTGCTGTGTTTGTCTGCTCCCACATTCCTTTTTGTTTTATTGATTCTAAGCTCCAGTTTGCATCTCAGACGATCTTTTTTCGTAAAGACTCATCTTGTTTGGAATCACAGGTTGATTTTCAAACCAGAAAGCAGCCTCGTGATTGGTCGTTGTGGCGACGCGATGAGATTACGGTCCTATACTCACTTTGCTTAACAGACTCCCACAGACGACATTATCTTTCTCTTTTGCATTTGACAAAGCGATTCATTTGAGCTGCCCCCTTGCGTCTGCATTTGCAGCTCCGCTATAGACCGCTGCTTGCACGTGTATTCCACACCAGGACAAATGTAGCCTCCCTGCTGAGCTGTGCAGCAGATGAACACGCTGATTTATGCAAATATCGTGTCGTCGACATTTCCGCGGCCTTGACGTTGTGAGAATGGCCAGAGGCCATCATAGCTGCACTTACTCATGAACAGCGGATTTTATTCACATCTCTGTGGCGTGATTTTAGCAAAACATTTGACTGGCAACTGCATGCACAGAAGGCCTCCCATGGGTCAAGTCACCCTGACATTGAAGCACCCGTCTCTGGCCTTCCTTGGGTCGGCTGTACATGTACAATGAGTACATTTACAGTCGTGAAGAGGGCTACGCCTAGGTCACCTCGGCCTGAAATGAGTGCCCTGAGTTGCATTCTCGAGCACTTATTGGGTCAGCTCCCCCCTTGCGGCTGGGGATCAAGGATGGGTCTCAGAGCACCAGTGTCCCTATGGCCCCATATTTAGCCGTAAAAAAATCGCTTAATGTTTTTTTTACGCGGTGTAGATCGTCTAACGATCAGATGGTATGTCTACGATAAACGCCGCTCGCCTTTATCGCGGGAGCCGGTTGATGTGGTTCGCTCAAGTTGAGAGTGAAGTTTACATTTGTGCGCAGATGACGACAACAACGTCCCCGAGTTTTAAATCCGCCGGGGCGACGTTTCCGCATTGCCGCCCGACCGCTGTCGTGGCTGGTGCGATGGCGCACGGTGCTTGCAATGCCGCTTGCAAACGTGCACAAAATAATTGTTCTCTGCCTTCTTCTCCAATTTGTCAACACACACTTTATAACCTGCTCTCTCAGGTGGAATACTTTTTTTTGCGGCTGCCACTCGAGATGCTTCCGGGGTGTCTGGCTTCTCCGCAGAAGCGCAATTACCGCATCCTCCGCTGCCGCCCTGAGCCCAGAGAGGTGGCGCTGACTCGCGGCGTCCGTCTGCCTCGCTTCTGAGGCTTCCCCCTGCGAGTCGGAGGCTTTATCTCGCCGTCTTTATCGGGGTACGTCGTCACAACAAAGGCGCGTCGCGTGACCTACGGCGATGTAAAATCCTAAATTAAAGACGTGCCGCCGAATCAGTTCGGTGATTGTCCAAGATCCCATTTATGACAGACTCCGACTTAAAAGGGATTAAGAAGAGCGATGGAAAGTTCTGGAGGCTGCAGATCAAAATTGAGATAGATCCGCACAATCTTCTTCATGTTATGTTCCGCAAGAAAAAAAAAACGTTTGAAATTGCTAAGCGCACTTTATCGTAAAATTGTAAAAGTTCACTTGCCTTTTTAAATAACCATTCTACATCGTGACTCTTGTCTTTTCAAAAATAAAATAAAAACTGATGTTGGATTGCAGGGAGGAAGATTTGTCCACTCAAAATACGCACCTTTCTTCCTTCCTCCTTTATATGACTTTGCAGCCATGGGACCGACCGTCCCCGCCCACTCACTCATACCTGCAGCTAAGTGGCTTTTATTTCTTTTGGCGAGCAATGCTTGGCTACAGTGAGCTGGGACAGCTCTCTAATCTCTCATTGTCTGGGGATGATTGCAGGACGCAATTGAAGCATAATGTGCCCTGGCAAAAAGAACCAGAGGCGGCCATTTCCAATTATGGGCCTGGGACTGCCTTCAGCCACTTGAAGGCAGCAAAAGCTGGCAGTGCACGTGAATGTTTCCCCCCCATCCGTCTGCACTTACCGTGGCAGGATAAATGGCCATTTGTGCGTCATTTTAAAAATAAAATAAAAAGTGTTCCATCTTAATTGGCGGTGGCCACTGCTCGGCACAACTTGGAAGGATGTGCGTGTAATCTGTTAGTGAATTATAGGCTCACATTAGCTGCAGAATCCTTCTGGCCTTGAGCTTTGACCGCCTCTTAAATTGTGGAAATTGCTAATGTGTATTTTTGGTTGAGCTTAAGAGGCTGTGCCGAGTAGGACGGCATATCAAATTAGGCTTTCTTTTTATTGCTGCCAGGTTACGTAAAAAATGTATCTCTAACTGTTTGAGACTTTCTTACATAAAGTTTTTCATAC